TTCCCTTGACAATGGCGCCAAGATGTCGCCGAAACGTCGGATTTGTCTATCGTTAGTTTTTGCCTGTATAGGAGTACATTTTTGCGGAGAAAATGTTTCGTGCCATTCGGTATGTTGAAAACGACTGGAAAACCCTTTCTCAGTAAATGTTTCGTAAGTCACTGGCACATCAATGAAAATAATAAGTGAGTAAAATTTAGAACTGCACCTGTTTGAATTGGTCCGCTGAATAATAAACAATTGTTCCAGTCGCGCGCATTGGACATGAGATGGTAGATAGCCAACAAGGCACGTAGCGCCGAGTGGGTTATTATCATCTGATGTCCAACGCACGGGAGTGGAATAATTGTTTTATTAAAAACGCCTCCAAAAATAATTGATATTAAACTGAAATGAAATAAAAATACAAAAATTACGCGTACCCTTAACATATTTGTAGAGCATGGTGTAATGGCTCATATACCATGGTGGCTAAGCCAATGAAAACTCTTGAATTGCATTATCCAATGATCCAGTTTATGAGAATAAACAAACCCACCCGGACAAAAACTAGCCTAAGGGTCTGTCACAATCTGAATACCTCTTCCTGCATCGTCTTATATTTGAAAATGTCAAACCGAGAGCAAGGACTCTGAGATCAAAATTCTACGACTTTTATTTAGTCCGTGTGAATGTTAGGATCTCGGCTGACTAGGAAATTAAAAAAAAAAAGACTATGAGCATCAGTTTAATTTTCATGACAGGATCTCATAAATTCTGAGTTAATTTATATGAACGTCCCGTCTTCTTTATGCAAATTACCATTTTACCGTTTAAACGCCAAAATTGACCTATTCTGTTCTAATTGCTGACTCATTCTATTGAATCATAAGTGGGAAAAAGGAAATTAAAATAGGAACGTCGTGTGAGTCGATATTTTCCTCTTATACCACCTCCGCTAGCTTTCATGGGCAAAGAGGATGGTTCATGACCATTTCCAATTCAAGTTCCAAAACTGTTTTTCGCAGAACTACAACCAGCTTGGCGTCATCTGAATACATACTACAGTGAATAGAGCCGGAATAACTATAAACACACACCAAACAAACAAAAAACCCAGGAGACTTGGCTTCAAACCTGTTTTATTTTTCACGAGCTTCAATTGTTATATGAAACTAGGGCCGTAGTTAGTAACAAGTAAACCGGGGCACTTGCCTCTGTTATTTTTTTCTGTTTTTGTTGTTTACAGTCAACATAAACGTCCTAAACACCTAGGACGGATAATTTAAAGCGATGCAAATTACCTCACCCATATTTTTTTTCTGGCTACGGCCCTGAAACTACACATTAATATGAATCTCATGTTAGTAGGTAGAGAAAAAAATCAACTATAACGCTATGCTGTTTTAAAGTTTAAATGTTCTAGGACGTTTTCCGTAAGTCTCGTCGCTATATTAAAAAGTAGAAATGACTGCGCAATATGTATAAGATAACGAGACTATTCGTGGCCAATTGGTAATGGTAACTTGTACCTGTAGTTAACTAGGTTTATTATATGACTGAGAAAATTACT